CTCTGTCAAGACTAAGGCATGGACAGTGAATTCCATTGTTGTTGTTTAGTCGTTAAGTCGTGTCCGACTCTTCGTGATCCCAGGGTCCAAAGCATGCCAGGCCCTCCAGTCTTCCACTGCCTCCCAGAGTTCGGTCAAATTCATGTTGGTAATATTCACGAAGGCTTTCATGGCCAGGATCTAATGGTTGTTGTGGGTTTTTTAGGCTCTTTGGCCGTGTTCTGAAGGTTGTTCTTCCTAACGTTTCGCCAGTCTCTGGCTGGCATCTTCAGAGGACAGCACTCTGTGCTCTCATGTTGGTAGTTCGTTGACACTGTCCAACCATCTCGTCCTCTGTCATCCCCTTCTCCTCTTGCCCTCACACTTTCCCAACATCAGGGTCTTTTCCAGGGAGCCTTCTCTTCTCATGAGATGGCCAAAGGATTGGAGCTTCAGTATTCCTTTACTAAATGTCTAAAATCTCTTTACTGAAATCTAAACAGTACAGCAACTATCAGGGCTTCAACAACAGTGAAAATAACAGAAAGCAGAATTTTGTAGTAATTCAAACTCGCCCTTCCTTCTTCCTCCTTCCCCCCTTCTTCCTGCGACTCTACCTTTCCTCTAGGCAATACAGTACTAGCTAAGTTCTCAGCTAGTATCCCAGAAGCCTGAAGCCTGAGGGAAATCAATTGAATTTAATGTTGCAAAGCTGGAAGGGAACATAAGCACCCTCAGTTCCAACTCCGTGCCAAAGCAGGAAATGCAGTAAGATGCATAATGCCAGAGATTTGAAATGTTCCTTTTTTGGACTACAGTTCTCATCATCCCCAAGACAGCATTCACTGCAGCAGGTCGTTTGCATTGAAACAGTGCAAGCCTCTCTGCAAACCGATTTCTGCAAACAGGATGTAGGTGTTTGCATGCAAAAGGAAACATGTTCTCATTGTGAAACAGTGGATGGTTTCTCTCACTGGCTGATTAAATGGAAAGGCTTTTTCTGACTGACATTAGGTCAAGTTAGTTGCATATGTCACCATCTCTGTTTGCTAGAGACGTGCAATTTGTAAAAATAAAAAGCTTGGAATCCGTGGCAAGTGACAATTTGGATGGGCACCAGATGGCACATCTACATCTGGACAAGGGCCCCAGGACCCTTTTCTCCACCTATTGTTTGTAACCCTGCAAACTATAACCTCATCCAGCTCTGCCATCCATGTGCCCTTTTTCTGGTGCAAAAGGATGCAAGAAGGCAGGATTAAGCCTGGCAGTAGTAGTACCCCAGTATGTAAATACATAGTAAATCCTTGTAGGCAAGCACTAGACTGGTGCTACCGCTGCAGCTTCTGCACTTTGTTCATGTATAAAACACCCCTGCAGCACAAGGATGAGCAAGGCCAGTTGAAGAGTAAAGGAAGAAGGAAGAATCACACTTTTGCTCTCTCGTGTACTCACCTTTTCTCTTTTTGTTGACTTCTGCATGCTCCCAACTTCCGTGGGAGTTTTCTCTCATGCAGGCCAAGAATGAGAAAAGAGCAACAGGATTGCATAGGGTTCTTCAAAATAATAAATAAATAATTTTTGGTTCAAATTAAAAGAGAGCCTCCATGCCCCTGATTGATAATAGAGCTGTAGGGATCCAACAGTATTGGCACAGTTTCCAATTCCTAACTGTTGTGACCATTGTAGATACAGGCTCTGTGTTCAAAGTATTAACACAGAGCCTCCTGGAGGCAGGTTCAGAGGAGAATAGCAGTCCTTCTATTCAATGGTCACGGTGTTCATCCTGCTAACATCTTTTCTCTGATTTGAACCCTAACGCCACTTGATGTATACATAACTCAGCTGGAAGAGATCATTTGGAATTGAAAGGTCTGATGCCAGGATAGCAATATGACTACGACAAACCAACTGTATCTTTCCTTTTCAGCTAAAATGCTGCTTTTAGATTTTTGATCTTAGCTAGTTATATTTTGATGATTCTGTTTTACCTTACATTATATATCTTTTTTATGTTACATTTCATGTATGATACGTTAATATGGTACTATTTTATTTTGCTTTTGTGTATCGATTGCATTATTTTTGTAAGCTGCCTTGAAGGATATTATCCTATGAGGCTGGTTAGAAAATGCTTATATAAATACGGTGCTGCAGGGAATAATCCACTTCCCATAGGCACCGTGACATGCTGTGCCAAAGAATTCACAGAAGATTATATTCAAAATGCTCATCTTTCAAAGTACTTCGGGGGGTGGGAGATTTTCCCATTTATTTGTCATAAATGTGTGCTGCCTCATTATCTTCAAGCTCATCTCTTGTCCAAAATGCCTTCTGTTTTTTTCAGTGTGCTTTGCTAGGGCTGTCAGGAGAGAAGGTTTGTGCTGCCTGTGATTTCAGGACCAAAACGTGGGGCCAGATAGTGAGCCCTTTGACTTCACAGGAGGTAAGCCTCCTGTGTAACAATCACAAATTATTATGTGCGAGTGAGAGAGTGAAAGTGAGACCATTTCCTGGACTGCCTCCTGACACTGATCCCTTTGCACTGAACCAGTGAGTATGCAACCAAGAGGGAGAAAGAAGGAGATGTATACAAATTTGTATAGTATGTAAATTAAACTGCCTGATTTGCATAATATGCAGTTCCAGCTGGTTATTATTTGAAGTATGATAACCCTATCTCCATCAGGCCACAGGAGTATGTGTGTGTTTGAGGACAGAAAAAAAGATGATACTTTCCCACTGACCCTGTTTGTGACTGAGCTCCAAAGCTTCATCTTGTGTCCTTCTCTGGCCAGTGTTCTTGCTATCATCTCACACTTTGTCCTTCCCATTTCTTGTATAGATCTCCAGTTCTTGACTCTTTCCTTCCTTGCTTTAGCTGCTCTATTCCCTATTATCTGTATTCCACTCCACAATTTTTTTCTTTTTTTAATCCCGATTTGATTTTTCATCTCCTTCTGCAACCTGTCCCCAGTGTGAACCCCGTTTCTCCCAAGGCAAAACGGATACCAGTGTTCCCCTTGATGTTGGTCTTCTCTGAGGAATTTAGTGAAGTTTCACTTAATTGTTTCATTATCTGTTATGTACAGAAGCAAAATGGGATGAAGGTTGACTAGTCCCCACTCATATTTTGTCACTTCCTCCGGTAATAGTATTATAACTTCTACCTACTCTGAATATCTGACAAAAACAAAAAACAAAGCAAAGCAAAAACATAACAAGAGACAAAAATGTTCTGGCACCTTAAAGACTGATGGCTATATTTTAATGTCAGCTTTCCTGGTTCAAGTCTAATGCTTCAGATATAACAGAGAAACTATATGACTATCATATTGATACATGGCCTTGTGACCAAGTGGGGATCCTTGCACAGACTAACAATGGCTACGCCTTTGAAACTTAACCTGGATATACTTTTAGCTCTAAAAATCATTGCATATTAATTGGGAAAATCTACGTGTCTAAGTCGCACTGGCCATGTGACCACGGAAAGATTGTCTTCAGACAAACGCTGGCTCTATGGCTTGGAAACGGGGATGAGCACCGCCCCCTAGAGTCGGACACGACTGGACAAAAATTGTCAAGGGGAACCTTTACCTTTATTTAAAAAATAAATAAATGCATAGTTCATAGCTTGGTTTTAGGAAATTTAAAGTGTTTACTGAGGAGTAATGACTGACCAGTGTCTGGGCTAGCATTTCAATGAATCTCAGATTTATCTTTCCTTCTCCTTACATTAACAAAAGAACTAATAGTAGTGGTGACAGGAAAAACTCCCCTCACTAAATGTACACATTAAAGCAAGTTTGACTGCAGGTGGATTTGTTGTTCAAGTGCATTTGGCATTTCCTCTGCATATCTGAGGAAGTCCATGGAACCTCCAGAATCAAGCAATTAGTACTTTAGGGACAACCTGATCAAGTTAGCATTCTAAATGTTTGCCAGCCACCTGCTTTGCACAATTCACACCTTTTTATGATCAAAAGGTATGATGGTTCCCTAGTTAATACAATGAATGTCTGAAAGCTGGTGAAAGTAAAAAAAATGAAATAAAACTCAAGATTCAATATGGAGCAGCTCAGACAAAAACTGATCTTTTTCTGTATTGTTTCTAATGGCTATTGGTGAATATGTTACAATAAGTTAAATATAGTAGTCAACAGTTAACTATATACATTAAAGCTGGGAAAACAAATATCTCTTCTAGGATATAAGAGAAATCCATCTTTGACTGTCCATAACCACAAATAGTATGATTGCCAACACTAGCATAAACTCTTGAAAAAGCTACATCCCTCTTATCCAAGTTACCCACAGAGTACCTTGGTTCTGACAGTGGGAGGCAACCTAAGCCTTCTCTTGTGCCTATAGATACCTTTTATAAAATGGAGATTGTGGCAATGGGGAAAATTGCTGAGCCTATGACACAAGGTAGTTGCCTGGAGGTCATAGGGGTCATGGTGTGACGATCAAGAAAGGACAATGAACCTCTGAAATTTCCCTTACACTACTGCTGCCAGCATCTTAAAAACATTATCCCTACAGGGCTATCTAATGCATCCAATTCATTTAAAAAAGAAATTGGGATATTTGAATCCGAGAGAGACCCAGCTGCTGCAGCTGCATGGGTTTGCTAGCTGGAAACATCAGTTGACAATGCTTTTGGTTTGTTAACTGGAAAAAGCAGCTGACAATGCTTTGAAGAACTGAGTCATCCACAAATCATGAAAGGTTTATTTTCAATGATTTAACAACAGATTAGCACAATGCTTTTGCCAGCAATTTCCTCTGCCTAAAAGAAGGAATACCTTGGACAGTCTTCCTAGTGGCAATTCATATTATAGTAAAATATTCTAGGGAGGGATCATTACAGATGCATTCTGTTAAGTTTAGCCAAATTCTTTCTATGAAGAAATTTACATATATTGAAGGATTCTTATTTTTTTAAAAAATAACCGAACTGAGGCTCTTACTCTTCCCTACCATCCGTGCATGGCAAACGGATCTCTGTTACTCACCCAGGCAGAGTTAGACTGGTTGAGTTGGTTCAGCATGATAATGGAGGTGCAGCCATAGTCATACACCAGTCTCCAGAAATCTGTGATGGTATTCTGCAGCGGATGCAAGGTCACAATGAAGGCAGCGCTCTTTGTGTAGCTCTGAAGAACAAAGAGATATGGGGTTACGGCAGAGCAGGTACATCAGGGCTGGACCCCCAGCATGGCACCTGTGTCATGATTAGAATAGTGGAGAGGAGCCTTGGAGACGCTTGTTTCAGTCCCATGAAACTCAACGGATGACACGAAGCCCGTTAGCATCTCACAGGAGGCTTTTGAAAATAAAGTGGAAATGGGTAGAGCCATGCATGTCACTCTGAGTTCTCTCTTTTCTTTGGAGGAATATCAGTGTTACTGCTAAAGCTTCAAATGGCGCAGAATGCGGCGGCCAGACTTCTCAGTGGGACGAGAACATATCAGCATATTTCCCCCACTTTGGCTACCTTGCATTGGCCGTTCGTTTCCACATTGATTTCAAAATGTTAATGATGACATATAAAGCCCTGGTTTACGACCTCAATATCTAGCGGAATGCTTCCTCCCCCCTAGATCTAACCGAATCACTCATTCTAGCCAGGAAGGGTAGGTGAGGGGCCTAACGCCGAGGCAGGCATGGAGAGAAAGAACAAGAAACTGGGCCTTCTCGTCAGTGGCCCCTCGCCTTTGGAACAGTCTGCCCCCCGAAATCTGTCTGGCTCCCTCGCTGGATGTTTTTAATAGCAAACTGAAGACCTGGCTCTTTAGGCAGGCTTTCCCTCCTTGAATATTTTTCCCCATCTTGAACTATATTACTATTGTTGGCTTTTATTTTATTATATTGGTTTTATTCTGTTTATTATTGTTAGCCGCCCAGAGTAGACTTTGGTCTAGATGGGCGGGGTATAAATTTCAATAAATAAACAAATAAAGTAAATGGACAATTAATTGGTGATATGGCCCAGAACACCAAAACCTTCGACCTCACTTTATTTCGGAAACAGCAACATAAAAAACATGGACAAGAAAGCGAGAAGACAAATATGTCTGGCAGAAAAAGGGGGTGGAGGGCATTTGATGCTCCTGTTGCAGGAGTTCTATGCCAAACCTCACTTTACTGTATTTCGGAAACAGCAACATAAAAAACATTGACAAGAAAGTAAGACAAATATGTCTGGCACAAAAAGGGGGTGGAGGGCATGTGATGCTCCTGTTGCAGGAGTTCTATGCCAGTTCCTGCCTCATTTTTCGGTTCACATCACTCACAGCACACAGGGTGGTCAAGAGCAAGAGGAAAGGTGGTTTCTTTGCTCCCTCTTCCTTTTATACAATTTAGGAGCGATCCTTGCAGCCTGAGGACTGCCGTTGCCTAAACACTCTCTTCAGGATCGTATGTATATCTCAGTCACTCTCAATAGGGGCCCTATTGGGAGGGGGCAACAGAGTGGAAACACATACCACCTTATAAGGTTCATTATGCGATTTATACAATCCTGACTTGGCCTATATTTCTTTTATGTTGTGTTTATGGCCATGGTAAAAAAAAAAAATGGTTGAGAATGGCTGATATACATGATGGAGCTTGAAAAGTTACTTTTAAACTAAAAGTTACTTTTTGACTAAAAGAGAATTTTTTAAAAATTTCCAAGCTACCCTCAACAGTCACTGCTATAGCTACTATTTTTAAATTTTAATTGTTAACTTCCTCTTTTCAAATATAATTTGTAGGAAAACATTTGACTGTTGTTACATGTTGCTGGCCTCTACACAACACACTTTCCTAGAGAGGAGAGAACAGTTACTTTTTGGATAGCAACTCCCAAATCCCCCACCAGTTAAACCTCTGTTACTGGAAAAAAAGAACACCAAGTACAAGTAACTAATTGCTAACAATGCAATTAATGAGCTATTTGAAACTANTGCGGGTTTTCCCCATTGCGACGATCGGGTATGTTTCCGTATAGCGATCCCGAAAAAGGGATCGCTATACGGAAACATCGCTATACGGTGCACTCGTTAAGCGAGGCACCACTGTAATTATATCCAGGCTATGCCAGGAATGAATAAGATCTGTTCAAGTAACTTCTGTGGACCTTAGAGGGACTCACCCCTCTTCTTTTTTTATGGAATGGGTCTTTTTAACCCACCATAGCCTATCTATGCCACCTCATTCTATGTTATATAAAAAAGATTTTTTTAGATCCACTTTTGTCATTCTGAAATGAAGGAAAGATGAAGCTCGAATACTAGGAGTATTTTGCTATACTTAGAAACAAACCTGAAGGTGGTAGAATGCTGGTCACTTTTCAGCTGTCATAAATCTGAACTAAGCCCTTGCCTATTAATGCACACATGTCAGTAAAAAAGGCTCAATCACTTCTGCCTGTTTGCAAGTTGTTGATTGAAACCTCAAGTGACAGTTGGAGCGCATGAAACAGCTATCTCTGATCGATCACAGAACTTTCATATCCTCACATATTATTTCAGGAAATTCTGGCTCCATCGATCAGCATCAAAAATGAGCTTTTAAAAGATGGAAGCTGACCTGCTCAGGCTTACCACGGCTGCTCTGAGAAAAGTCCTGACAGAGCAAAGACACTAAAAATCCTGCTGTTCTGCCATTTGTGGCTCAGAGTTGAGAGAACAGTTTCGTTTTATTATTATGTTTATGAAGAGTTTGGAAAATTCCTTGTAAAAACTACAACTTCCAGAAGCCCCCAGCCAGCATGACAACTGGGAATTGGAGTCCATAAAGGTGAATTTTGCCAACCTTGTGCTCATTCAAGGAACTCTGACAATGTCCATTGTTCTCTCTGTAACTATTTTTTTTTAACAACAAACCAGCAACATAGGTAAAAACACAGTGACCGGCCTGAGCGGCCAGCAATTTGTTTTGTTTTATGGGAGTCAGTCCTCTTATTTCAAAAGCCATCAGAGGCCAACCTTTGGTTTGAAAGCATCCTCTACTTGGAAAGGCCATGCAGATCCACACCAAGTCATGTTTAATAATAAAGAACTGTACAAAACGAAGCCAGAAGCCATCGGAATTTTTCTTCCACAATTAGCATCCAGACAGCAGATTTTATTTATCATTTATTTAAAATACTTATACCCCACCTTTCTCCTCAGAAGGACCCAAGGCAGCTTACAATAGTAAAAACAATTTATGGATTTATGGATTCAACAGGTACATACATAGACCTCCACAATCTAGTGAAATGTATTTAAAGATGAAGTGTTATGGATCATGGTATTCAAATGTTCAAACTCACATGTTGTCTTTTTAATTAATATTTAAGTGTGTACATTGTCAATTACACACAGATGAGTTTGCAATAGTTGCTTAAGAGTCAGCCCAATCCTCATTCTCCTTTGGGGGATCTCTAAACTTAAGTCTCCACAGGGGATGTCAAAGAAGAATCTACAAACAGTAGGTTGTTACAACATGATCTCAAGACACTGTAGGTCTATACCAGCACATTACATTGAGCTCAGAGGTGTGGGCATGCTTTCTGCCAGGACTGATTGAGCACAGCTGGGCGCATGACAAGGCTAGCATCCAGTAGATCCTTGATTACAATGTCCAGTAGGTGCCCCCTGCATTTGCAGCTGCTACGTCTTGTTTTTAGCCTTTTGTTTCTGATCATGGGGCATTCTTGGCAAAGATACTGGAGTGGAATTGCCGGTTCCTACCCCAGGTGGATTGTGTTTAGTCAGAACTCTCCACTATGACCTGTCCGTCTTGGGTGGCCCTGCACAGCATAGCCCATAGCTTCTCTGAGTTACTCAAGCCCCCTCGCCACGTAGGTGCCCCCTGCATTTGCAACTGCTACGTCTTGTTTTTACTGCTTGTTCACTTGCTTTCTCTCCAAGAGTGCAAGGAAGAGGAAAGTAACCTCTGCACGCCTGAAATATTATTGCAGAAATGGAACTTGTTCTATCAAGGCAGAGACAAAATGTAATAATCATTGTTACTATCTGGGAACATGCAACTCATTGCATTTTATGTGGCTTGCATGTGACTATTCATGTTCCTCTCGACTGCTGGTAGGTTATTTAATGTTAGAAAGCTCTCCCCTGAAGTGTTCTAAATGTTCATTCTTTTTGCAGAAAAAAAGAATATATAGGGTCCTTATTTAGGAACAGTGGGGGATGGTTAGCTGGTCCTGGACTCAAGTTAAACAATAATTCATACTTCCTGTAGTGAAGTAAATCCATAAGTACTTATGGTGTTACAATATTTTTTTGTTATTGTCCTTCCAACCTCTGCTTGCTCCAACTCTCTCGGACAGTGATTCCCAACCTTGAGTAATCCAGGTCTTCTTGAGCTGCAGTTTCCAGAAACCCCAGCCTGCACAGCTGGTGGTGAAGGCTTCTGGGAATTGCAGTCCAAGAACTGGGTTACTCAAAGTTGGGAATCATTGCTCTAGAAGATGGTGTGGTCTAGGCCCAAGAAGGAGAAATAAGTGAATAGGCCATGAAAAAGAATAAGAAGGAATTCCAAACTGGTGTGGTTCACAGAGAGCTCCTTGGTCAGTGGGTGCCACACCCCCTCCCACCAAACATCTGGAAACAGAATGCATATGAAAATGAGCAATACTATACTTGAGCTATTTATCAGCTTTGATCTGAAGTGTTATTGTAGTCTCTGAATTCTTGGCTTGTAGCAAGGTACAGAGTGTGACAAAATAAATTGACGGGCAAGCAAAGCAAGAAATATGAAAGGACTTTCCCAATGAAGCCCTTGTCTACAGCACAGAGAGAGAGCGAGAGAGAGAGAGAGAGCTTTCCATTAAAATTGTTTGAGGGTGCTGTTGGGCGAATAGACAGCCTGCTCTCAGATCTTTTTTTAGAAAACGCAGCCCTCTTCTCCGAACAGGAAAGAGGCGCCTTTGATCTAAGAACAAGTAGCAGAATGTCTCCCCAACAAATCAGTTTTTTCTTCTCCCACAGGAGGTTATACGCTTTGGATAATAAGGGCAAGTAATGGAAAGTGGTTCTCGTCTCTTCTCTATTGTACTCTTAGCCTGGCCGGTAATATCTCTTGGGGCTTCGGGGTGGGTGGGAAGCCAAGTTGCCAGGCACACAAAAGGCAGCCACACACCTCGGGGTCTGACTTCTAACAC